AAAAAACATGATTGTAGTATTCACTCAGTAAGGTGTATTCGCATTGCTGGCAATGTGTCTGCCCAGTTCTCAGGGTTTGTCAGATATGTCTGGGCAGCACAAAGAGGCTGTACATTTTCCAAAAGGGAAATACTGTAAAGGTCAATGTGTTGCCTCGGGAATATTAGGGTCCTTTCCATTGTGATTAAGAGCTGAAGGTTTTATTAATGGCTTTAACAGAAATTGCAAAAAAAGAGTTTATTTTTGTAAAAGATACAAGTCAAAATTATAACATTTCCTTTGCTTGCAAAATCCTCAGGGATCATATATACAAAAATGTCACAATATAGACATGTTTTTTGCGAACCTCACGTTCAGGCTCAGGGTGTGGATAGCTCTAGTTGACGCTTGTAGCAGAGGGTGTGCTGCTATCTGTTCAAGGGACACGGCGGAGCCCAGTCCAGGGTGCTCACCCCACAGTGGGACAGACTCGAGGGAGACCATTACCACTCAGATCATAGCACGAACGAGGAAGTGATATTGATGTCTACATGTCTTTGATGTATTTGTTGTAATTATCGATGTAGTGGTGAAGTGATGAAGCTTTGAAAAGGAGAATTATGACTGTGAAAGGTGAATGCAGGAGCTGACCATGACACGCCAGGCAGACCTGATTGGCATAGCAGATGCCATCTTTCATAAACTCTCTTAGAGTAACATCTAACATCTGGGGAGGGGAATCTTTTGTAAACTCTCTTAGAGTAACATCTGGGGAGGGGAATCTTGCTGCTTGTTCACCATTCTTTTATTTATTTATTTATTTTATTTTTTTATCCTCACCAGAGGACATTTTTCCATTTTTTGTACAGATAGAGTGGGAGGGAGAGAGAGGAAGAGAGAGAGAGGGAAACATCGACGTGAAAGGGACACATCGAGTGGCTGCCACCTGCACGACCAACCAGGGCCGGGGACAAACTGCAACCGAGGTACATGCCCTTAGCGGGAACCGAACCCGGGTCTCTCCGGACCGCAGGCCAGTGCTCTAACCGCTGAGCCAAACCGGCCAGGGCTGTTCATCATCCTTTTAACGTTTATGTCAGGCACTGGACCGGGTGTTTGGATTCCAACGATGAATAACACACACCCCTGCCTTCAAGGAACTCATGATAAAAAGAGAAGACAGACAAAATTTCAGAGAGGATGATAAACCCATTGATGAGGATATTAATACGACAGAGGACACACAGTCTGCCTAGTGAGGGGAGGTGGGGCCGAGCAGAGGAGGCTTCGCGGAGTAGTTCACATGAGAACTGAACTCTGCGGCTCAGCTGGGACTGGCCGGAGGACAAGGAGTGGAGACCGAGGGCTGTGGCCAGGGCATGGAAGTCAGAGCCAGTACCGCGTGCAGCTGGCTAGGAGCAGTGTGTCAGGAGTCATTTCGCTTGGTTTGCTTTTAAAATTTTAAATCATACATGACTACAATTATACAGTAACACAGCCTCTACTGCTTCTGCTAAGTGGAAGGAACACATACTTCTATGATTCTAAAAATGACAAATTCTTACATGCCTCTGAGAATTCTAGGCAACAGTATGGGCACCGGCCAGGGCTAGTCTTCCCAGCGGCTTTCTTTATTCTCTTAGGGTATAAGATACTGTTGCATCTCTTTTATTTAAAAATTTTTGTTGTTGTTGCCTTTTTTTCTTTATTTTGTGTCTTCACATTTTTTATTTTTAATTGCTTTTCCATTACAATTGACATCCAGTGTTATTTTGTATTAGTTTCCGATGTGTAGCATGATGGTGAGACAATCGTATACTTTGTAGAGTGATTCCCCTTGATGTTTCCAATGCAGTTAGTTACCTACAAGGAAGCTTGTTGCAGCTGTTAACTAGTTTCACATTGTAGCTAATCAATAGCTCTCTTGCAACTTTTTTTTTTTTTTCTAAAGAAAAGAAAAATAAAACAAAACATCCTACATGTTTCTCTGAGGTTCTCTGAATAAAGATAGTGGAACTCAAAATATTCTAGATGTGTGTGTTTGTACATGAGTATGTTAGCAGATCTGCCCCTTATTCATTAACCGTAAGACTGAGAACTTGGTAGGAGGGTTTCGTTCCTTCCTACGCCCCTCATGCGGTCTTTTAAATTTGAATCATGATTCTCAACATGACTATGAGAACACATTTCTCCTTATATCTTCTGCTTCTGTTAAGATGGTGGAATTTTTTTTCTCTCTTTCTCTGTCTACCTCCCTCAACTGGGAGTTAAGGTCTTGCTGTCACGGATGCAGAATGGGTGACTATGGCAAGTTGGGTATACATTTAACACTAAAGTAATAATGTGTAGTGTTCCGATTTAAAACTGTAAATATATTAGGGTGATTACAGCAATAAAACCATTGTAGCATCTGTTAAGTGATGTGGGCAAGTGGTCCAGTGACTCTCGGAGCTGAGCTGAGACTGTGACCACAGCAGAAACACTCAGTACCAGGCTAGGAAGGAAAGTTTCCTGTTGCTTGAATTATGTCATTTCCAATGAGGCTTCTTTGTATTTATTCATGCCTGGGGGGGCGGGATAGAGAAAAAACTTTTAAAAACTTTCTCTAAAAACATCTTTAAATCATTTTTCACAGTATGAAAAATTATAGTCCTTTTTTTTTTTTTTTTTTTAAATGTTTGGCTTTGTCCAAAAGCATGGGCATTTTCCAGTGGCTGGTCACGTGTGTTGCCCAAATAGATGTTCAGATACATGAGCAGGATGCCTGGATAGTGCGAAAGGCCATTTGGTACCTAGAATTCTACATTCTCAAGCGTTACATACATATTTGAAACCTTAGTTCCCCCTTTCTTTCTCAAAGGGAAGACCATGCTTCAAGGTAACTTAGCACAACAGTTAGCAATACCTGTGGTCCTGTGAGTTGTTTTCCTTCCTTCCCTTAGGGCTTCTTTCAGGATCTTAGTAAATCCGTCTTCTCAAAATGCATTTAAATCAAGGGCAGCTTTGAAAGGAACAGTTATAAAAGATTAACGTCAGCACTTGAAGTTATTTTTTAAATGCCTGCATATTGAATTTGATGTTGGGTATGAGTGTATTCGTAACTTTCAGAACATTATTGCCAAGTTTGATAATCAGGTTAATTTTGCAGTTAGTTTTGAACTGTTTTGCTTCAGGCGGCTCGAATTATTTAGCCACGGGTGACGTAACGTGTCTGCCAGACCCCAGGGGGCAGGTGCACGCCAGACGGTCCCTAAGAGAGGTAGAGATGGAATTTCAGTTCACACGAAATTTCATTCATCAGCGCAGATGCAGCCTCTCACGTATGCACAATTATGTCCATACATAGTTTTGTCGTTTTATGTAGAAATGAGGAAACCCAATTTAATAGAAATGAACATCCCAGGTACTGATCCCTCTTCTTACTTGAGCTCTCGCTTCTGCTCATATTTTCACCGTTCGCGTGGTTCACGCTGCTGTTGACGGGAAGCCTTGCGTTCTCGTTGAATTCTGCCACTGACCCAAGTCCTGAAACGAGTCCCCAGTCTTGTGTTCATCCATTTGTGCCCTGAACTAGTCCAGGACCTTACTGTTCAGCCCCGGATCGCAGCCAGTGGGGATGCTGGGCACACTGCTTTCTTACCGACTGGTCGAAGGCACTTGCTTTGATAATGTCATCTTCTGCTCAGAAAACCGTGTGTGTCTCTTTCTCTGGCTAATGTATAGGGAAAAAATCCAAATTCTTTAGCTAGAATTTCAGACCTGCTGCATGAAGCATGGGTGCTTTTACTACTTTCAAGTCCCAGTATTCCCAGTGCCCGGGAGATAGAAAGTGTGCAATCGAAGATTTTTATGAACTTTTCTCCACGTTTTAACGTTGATATGTGCCCCTTTAGCAACTGCATTTCTGTCTTGTTCATATATCAAAATCTACCTCAAACACATTTTCTGCAGACTCGTCCTCATTTCTCCTCTCTAAAGTAAAAAACACGTGTTCACTCGTGTTTTATATTCATCGCACATTGCTAAGCCCTTGTTATGCTCCAAAGAGGTCAAGATAAATATGATGCTCCACTTCAAGGTATTCACTCTAGGGCTTTAATCAAGTAAACAGTTGAGATGTTGTGTGATCAACACTGTGATACAAAACTACAGAGACTCCAGTGAGGGTCAACTCAATGGACGAACGTGAGAATCAAGAGAAGTTTGATTGTGTAATGAATGTTGGGTGTCTTGAAAATATGGAAAGACATTTCAGTCAAAGAATAAAGTTATGTAAAGACTCAGAGGCTTGAAACACAAAGGAGTGTTCAAAACCCGACAACAAGTTTGCTTGGCTTAAGAATAGAGACAGGCCCTGGTCAGTTTGGCTCAGTGGTTAGAGTATCAGCCTGTAGACCAAAGGGTCTCAAGTTTGATTCTTGGTCAAGGGCACATGCCTGGGTTGCAGGGTTGATCCCCGACCCCAACCAAGGCTGTGCAGGAGGCAACCAATCAATGTGTCTCTCTCACATCAATGTTTCTCTCTCTCTCTCTCTCTCTCTCTCTCTCTCTCTCTCTCTCTCTCCCCCTCCCTCCTTCTCTTCCACTTTATCTAAAAAAAATTAATGGAAAAAGATGAGGATTAACAAAAATAATAGAGACAGGATGGGATAGAAACAACTGGAAATGAGACGGGGACCATCTTATAAAGTATTATTTATGCCATGCAAAGAACTGCTTGAAACAAAGTGGGTACTCAATAAACATTTATTCAATGAACAAATAAATGAATTGCTTTATCTACTACTGGTATATTAAATATTTATGTTCAATAATTTACTAGTTTACAACTTGGCTTGTTGAAGAAAAACTATGTATTCACACTATTTTCTGTATTGCATATATGGATGATCTTTAATCTGTTACTGTAACAATTAGAAACATTCTTACTAATCTGAATGCCAAAAGTTGAGAGTTCTTAAAGTTAATATATATAGACAAATGTTCATATATATTTGTGTTTTTCTTTTTTCTTTTTCTAGGGTCAGACATTGTTCAATGGTTAATAAAGAACTTAACTATCGAAGATCCAGGTAAATAAATCTTTTTCCCATTGATAGAATTATTATTTTGTGGTTTTAAGAAATATACTTCTCAGGACTAATATGACAAGCAAACCTGAAAAATTATAATTACACTTAACTATGCTTGTAGCAGTTATACAAATTTTATGATGGCCAACATATATACATCTAAAATTTATTTAGTATGTATTTACAAGTTTTTACATATTTAATATTCCATTTTATAAAATGTGATTCAGGTGATTGGTAATTGTTAGAATGGATGGACTGTATATATGGTCATGAATAATTGAGCATATGATTTATAGCAAGCGATCATGAAGTAATACAATTTCCCTTCATAAAACACATAAAAGTAAATCTCATTAATTTATCATTTTGCTTTAACTTCATTTTTGCATAAGGTTTGAAAACAATGTTAGTTTCTATCATGCCTACGTGATTTTCTGTAATGCTCTCATGTAAGTCATGGTTACCCACTCGCTGTGTGGACGTTATTTCTATTCTGCAGACTAAGCTAATTTCCAGAGCCTGGGAACAGTTTTGCATTGCCTGCAACAAATCCTGTGTATGTGAGGAATGCTTAATGGCTTTTAAAAAATACCTTGTAAGAGCCTTCACGTGTCGCAAACAACTCACATCACTGAAATGAAAATAAGATGTATTTGTTTAGAGAAGATGCTGAGAAAACAAAAAAAATGAATAAAATAAAACAAAAACAAAAAATTGGGATTGTGGTGATGGAATGACATGGCTGAAATGGCAGTTTGCTAACTACACAACCCAGCAGCCCTTTGATTACAACAGATTTTTGCATGGCTTTTGCTCCTGCCTCTGATTACCACCTTAGAATGCTCTAGAAATATGGTGCATGGAGATGCTAAGTTTAAATTTTTCTTCTTTTTGAGCTAATTAAGAATATATGCACCCCTATGTTCATAGCAGTGCGTTTTACAATAGCTAGATCTGGAAACAGCCCAAGTACCCATTAGGAGTTACGTGAATAAAAAAGCTGTGGTACATTTACACAATGGAATACTATGCAGCTGTAAGCAAAGAAGGATCTCTCTCGCTTTGAGACAGCATGGAGGGGCCTGGATAGTATTATGCTAAGCAAGATAAGCCAATCAGAGAAAGACTAGTATCACAAGATCTCACTCATATGTGGAATCTAATGAACAAAATAAACTGATGAACAAAATGGGTCCAGAGGCATGGAAGCACGGCACAGACTGAGGGACCTCAGAGGGAAAGTGAGGAGAGATTAACCGAAGAACTTACATGTATAAACGCATAGCCCATGGACGCAGACAGAGTGTGGTGAAGGCCTAGGGTGAGGCAGGAGCAGGGTGGACGGGGCAATGGGGGAAAAATAGGCAACATCTGTAATACTCTCAACAATAAAGTTTTTTTTTAAAGCCACATTATCATAAAATGTAGCTCTAATTCTACATGCCTACATATACGCCCTGTTTCTTTAGTATATGCACTTTTAAAATGCTTATCTTAGCAGGTTAAATGGGATTAAATGATTACGTCAAGATGAAGCAACTGTTGGCAGCATCATATTATAACTAAGTGAAAAGAGGTGATAATTGTTGGGAAAGGAAGCCCCTGTCTTACCAAAATGACATTTTAGACTCTACTTAGTGGCATGTCTGGCTTTATAAACTATAGCAGCAGACAAAAGACCCCAGCACAAAAAGCAAACAAAACTAAACACAGAAACAGATTCACACAATCATTGATAATGAGGCAACTACTGATTTGCAAAGAATATTATTACTCTAAGGGTGAGCTTGATTCAAAAGAATATTATTTGTAAGTTAAGACTGAAAGTGTGCCAGTGACAGTATGAGACAATTCCAGTTTGTAAACAGCCCAAGTGTTCATCAGTAGACGAATGGATAAAAAAGCAGTGGTACATATATACAGTGGAGTACTATGCAGCTGTAAGAAAGAAAGATCTTTTATCTTTTGACAAAACATGGAGAATCTTGAAGAGTACCAGGATACAAAATTAACATCAAGAAATTGACAGCATTCTTATACAACAATGATGAACTCGCAGAAAGAGAAACTAAAAAACAATCCCATTTACCACTGCAGCAAAAAAATTAAGATACCTAGGAATAAACTTGACCAAAGAAGTAAAGGACCTATTTGCAGAAAACTACAGGACATTGATAAAAGAAATAGAGGAAGATATAAAAAAGTGGAAGCACATACCTTTGCATATTCATTTATTAAGTCTAGTAGATTTTTGATGGAGTCTTTAGGGTTTTCATGTCATCTGTGAATAATGACAGTTTCACTTCCTCCTTTCCAATTTGGAGTCCTTTTATTTTTTCTTCATGTCTGATTGCTGTGGCTAAGATTTCAGTACTATGTAAAATAAGAGTGGTGAAAGTGGGCATCCCTGTCTTCTTCCTGTTCTTAAGGGAAATGCTTTTAGTGTTTGCCCATTAATTATGATGTTGGCTGTAGGTCTTTCATATATGGCCTTTATTATGTTGAGATATGATCCCTCTATTCCAAAATTGCTGAGCATTTTTATCAGAAATGGGTGCTGGATTTTGTCTAATGCTTTTCAGCGTCTATTGATATGATCATGCAATTTTTATCTTTCATTTTGTTTATGTGGTGTGTCACATTTATTGATTTGCAAATATTGTACCAGCCTTGCATCCCTGGGATGACTCTTACTTGGTCATGGTGAATAATTGTTTTGATGTATTGCTGGATCCGATTTGCTAGTATTTTGTTCAGGATTTTAGCATCTATGTTCATCAGGGATATTGGCCTGTAGTTTTCTTTCTTTGTAGTGTCTTTTTCTGGTTTTGGAATTAGAATTATGCTGGCCTCATAAAACAAGTTTGGAAGTCTTTCTTTGTCTTGAATTTTTTGAAATAGTTTGAGGAGAATGGGTGTTAGTTCTTTGAATGTTCAGTAAAACTCTCCTGTGAAGCTGTTTGGCTTTTGTTTGCTGGGAGAGTCTTGATTACATCTTCAATTTCCTTCGTTGTTATGGGTCTGTTTGAGTTTTCTATCTTTTTGCAGTCCAGTTTTGGGAGACTAGGTGTTTGTAGAAATTTGTCCATTTTGCTTTGATTGTCCAATTTGTTGCTGTATAATTGTTCATAGTATTTGTAATGATCCTTTGTATTTCTGTGGTGTCAGTTATTACTTCTCCTCTTTCATTTCTGATTTTGTGTATTTGGGTTCTCTCTTTTTATTTCTTGGTGAGTCTAGCTAAGGATCCATCAATCTTGTTTATCTTTTCGAAAAACCAACTCTTTGTTTCATTGATTCTTTGAATTGTTTTTTGGACTTGATGTCATTTATTTCTGCTCTGATCTTTACTATTTCCTTCCTTCTACTTGCTCTGGGGTTTTCTTTTTGTTTGCTTTCAAGTTCTTTAAGTTGTGAGGTTAGGTAGTCTACTAGAAATTTTTCTTGTTTCTTGAGGTAGGCCTGTAGTGCTATGAACTTCTTGAATGGCGTGGTTGTTTTTGACTTCCAGAGTATCACATTCATGGCTTTTATTCTTGTCACCGCCTACACAGTTCAGCCTCAGTCTTCTGGGATGGCTCTGCACTCCCCAGCTAACAGATGGATGCTGGAATGCCCATAGTTCTGTCCTGGTTACCTTTTCTCTGTGTGCATACTGCTCCTAAGCGACCTGTCCTAAGGGCTCTCAGATGTATTGCTGTCATGCTGACCTCTCCATGGTGCTCCATCCTCGTCTGTCTGATGCCTATGTTAGCTCCCTCCTGAAGGTTAAACTCAACATGACCGCAATACACCGATTTACCCCTCTCAAACCTGCTCCTCCTTGTCTTCCCCAGTTCAACATTGGGGTTGAGTCTTCTATCCGAGACCATGCTGTGTCTTTTCATTTGTTTAAATTTGCTTTGTGGTCTTAAGGAGTGTTTTAAAGTTTCCTTACAGCAGTTTTGCATGTTTCTTATGAGACTCATTCATAGTTATTTAATATTTTGTTGTTATGAGTTTTCCTTTCTGTGACATCTAATTATTGTCTGTACATATGAAAATTATTGATTTGCATATGCTAATTTTATATATCACTACTTTACTAAATTTGATTTTTGTTTAGTATTTTTAACTAATAAATTATAAAGCTAAAATACTTCTTCCAGCATGTATGAGGACTGTATGTTCAATTCCTGAGCCCTTGCACATCTGGCAGTAACTTCTGCTACCTGTGTGCATGTGGACAATGTGGCTAGGTATAGAGCAGACGAGGTAGACTTTCCTCTTTACGACACTATAGATACTGCTTCATTGTTCTCATGCATTCGATATATGGGCATGCATATATAGATGTGTGTGTGTGTGTGAAACGTTTCATGTATAGAATTTTTCATATACATGTTTTTCTCCTGCCTAGAGTCCTGTAATGTTTTTCATCTCTGAAATTCCAAATATAGGTACACAATTGCTAGGGGTTTATACTCTTCTTTCTTTTTATATACTTGTATTTTCTGGTAAATCATTTAAGTCTGTTGATTCAAGTTTGTTTAAGTTGAAGAAAATAAAAGTTCCTGTTCTGTTACTTAAGCCTTATTTTCCAAAGTAGATGTAATAATTGTGCCCAGTACTTAGTGATGTCCCAAAAATTAAAGAATCTATGTATATACAGCAGTTATTACTGTACCTATTACATAATGATTGCTCATAAAATATTAATAATTATAGTTTTAAATTCATTTTTGTTGTTATATCTAATTATTTTACTTTATTACAAACCACCCTCAAACCTCAGTGACTTAAAATGAACAATGATTTCATTTAGCTCATGAGTCTGTGAATCAACTGGTCATTTCCTGGCTTAGGTCTTGGCAGATTTACGCTGGGCCCTCAGGTGGTGGGTGGGCGATCCAGGATTTGGGGCATACTTGGTATTTGCTAGGCTGTCAGCTGGGCCCATTTCATTCTCTCATTCTGCTAGCACTGGCTTCTTACCATGGTGTGTTCAGGGTTCCAAG